TTTCATCCTAGTATGAGACTCTTGAGCAATGTGCATCCTCGAGTCCGCACGCAGTATGCGAACTCATTCAACATCGTGCTCAACTGCTTAACCTCTGGACCACTGAGGAGGCATCTAACGGTGTTGATGCCTAACTTCAATCAATCCATGAATAGCTGCGCAACCATTCCTTCATTGTCTGAGGTATATACCTGTCTCTAACCGACATGAATTGAATTTCATTAGTCATGGCTTCTCGCCAGAACTACAGGAAATCATTTTGGAGCCATTTCACTAGTAAGCACATTATGATAATGGTCAAGATGGGGTTTGTGAAGATTGTAGCAATTTTAATATGCTGAATTCATGAGTTGATTTATGCTACACTACCATTGAAAACCTGAAAGCATTGGACGGCCATTTCGTCTCTGTTTGACTTCGAATTCTACGTTCGAGATCGTGGATGCGTACTTCTAAGCAATCTCATACTAGAATGAAACAGCTGTTCAATGCTTCCAGAATTTCAATGATGGTCTAGCATACATCGACTCATAAATTCAACTATTAAAATGTAATCACTTTCTTTTATGCTTCTTCTAACTAAAACGAAACCGTTAAAAATGCTAGTATTTAAAACTTAATCTAATCAAATTCATTGGGAAATGAAGGTATTTTGCATTTATTTCGTATTTTCTTCATAAATTGAATAATGAATTCGTTAGTTTGTGTTTGACTATAGCATCATTTTGTTGTTTGCCTCCAATATTATAAATGCTATCTTTTGTTTTTTTTAAGGACAGTAGAAGTAATAACAGTAGTAGTAGTAGTAGTAGTAGTAGTAATAGTAATAGTAGTAGTAGTAGTAGTAGTAGTAGTAGTAGTAGTAGTAGTAGTAGTAGTAGTAGTAGTAGTAGTAGTAGTAGTAGTAGTAGTAGTAGTAGTAGTAGTAGTAGTAGTAGTAGTAGTAGTAGTAGTAGTAGTAGTAGTAGTAGTAGTAGTAGTAGTAGTAGTAGTAGTAGTAGTAGTAGTAGTAGTAGTAGTAGTAGTAGTAGTAGTAGTAGTAGTAGTAGTAGTAGTAGTAGTAGTAGTAGTAGTAGTAGTAGTAGTAGTAGTAATAGTAGTAGTAGTAGTAGTAGTAGTAGAATAAGCAAGAAATTCGTGTGAATAATTTCTAATGACTGAAATGATGATAACACATGTCAAACAATTTCCTAAGAATGTATATTACTTTGTTTTGTGTACATAATGACAAATTATATATAAATATGTATACATTACCTAGATAATAATTTAATGCCATCTGGTCAACTGTTGAATTTAACATATTACTAATACAATCACATGTTGTATAAATCATTTACAGAAGGAATTGAGCATGAAAGACAATTATCAGTATCAGGTTGTGAAGATTGTTAAGTTTTTGATTGAGATCAAGAGTCGGTTGATGTTCGACCTTCATTGAAAACCTGGAAGAATTGGACGGTCGTTTCATGCTATGCGTATTGCCTTAATATTGCCTCAATTCAATGGGAAGATTCAAGTAAACAATATTAAGTGAATTTAAACTTCATCCTATTGTATAACCAAGTGACAATTAGGACTTAGTAGGTAAGTAGATGGTGTGATAGAGCTTGAAGCGAACGGTACTTGGTTCAAGTCCTAGAATAAAAATCAACTCTGAGATGCAAGTACATCCAACTTACGAGTCTCAAATAGGACGTGAACTCAGGTCCTATATCCCACTGTTAGCCACTATTCATCTTTGCTTAGAAGATATAGCAGTTTTTTTAAAAATAGATCGCCGAAGAAAGCATTACTAATAAAAACTCAACTATCAACATCAACCTTAATATTAACAACATTGGTTTACATTGATTGTTTCTTATTTAAAACGAAACAAAAAACGAAACATACTGTTCAACATATGCTTATCATTCATTAGGCAACAATAGTAATCAAAGATGGATAGTCGCTAGCAGTACAATCCAGGATGCCTGTTTCATCCTATTTAAGACTCGTCAGCTAGATGTACCAAATAGAATAAAACACGCGTCAAACTGGATTCCACTGCTAGTCACTATCCATCTTTGATTACTATTGTTGCCTAATGAATGATAAGCATATGTTGAACAGTACGTAACTTAAGGCTATATCGAAGCAATCCACACAATATGCACAATCCTAAATAACAATGGCAAAATATAAATAAAACACCATCAAGTGAATTTAACAATAGTAATCATTGCTAATTAATAAATCCAAAACAAAACAAACAAAAAGGTAGAATGAAGAATTTAACACGTTCAGTTGTGTCATTGAACAAGTGTTTACAACATAACACATTTAGTAAACATTCTAATAATCAATTCATGATTTTAATCTGTGAAATTTCTAAGATCTCCACAAAACCCTTCTGATAATAATAATCTGCTCATTACTGACTGACTCCAAGAAGCATTTCCTGGAGTTCTAGTGAGGAGCCGTGACCAGTGGAGATCAACCAGGTCTGTTATGAGATATCAGCTCACTGAAGACAATGGTATACGGTGGCGCAACTTCGTGGATTGGTTGAAGTTAGACATTAACACCCTTGGATGCCGGTTCAGTGGTCTAGTTGGTTAAGTGCCTGGCGCGAGACTGGTAGGTCCGTGGTTCGAATCTCGCAGGGTGCGAGATCGTGGCTGCGCACTGCTGAGGAGTCTCATACTAGGACGAAACGGCCATCCAATGCTTCCAGGTTTTCCACAGTGATCTAGCTTCAATTGACTCATGATTTCAATCTGTCAATACTGTTTGCCAAATATTGACGCAATATAAAAAAAATTTTATAAAAAAAAAACCAACACAGTATGAAGTTTATATTTATTAATTAACTATTTACATGTTGATTATGTGTGTAATCTATGTATGATGTAATGATTCAGCAAATGTGTTACATAAGAGATTACACATATATTAAACAAAGAAATACTACAGTAATCGAAATATGCCATCATTCATTATGTAATTGAATAATCATAATAATGAAAGGGGAATATTCATTCTTATTGATAGATTTGATTAGATAGGTATTTAGGAAATGCCAAATGTAGCATAGGAATCTTACTTTTCCATTAGTTATTCATTATGATGTTGCGCTAACTAATATTATTTGGAATGAAATAATAATGTTACATAACTGATTATGTAAGTTATTTCGAATGATCTACATAGTAATTCGATGTAAGAAAATGAAGAGAATATGATAATTGTAACTGACAAATTCATTGTTAGTAAGTTAAATATGTTGTTCGAAGGATTGGTAGATTGATTATGTGGAGATTTTAGTAATTTAATAGTTGAATTCGTGAGTCAATTGAAGCTAGATCATGATGGAAAACCTGGAAGCACTGAATTGCCGTTTTGTCCTAGTAGGGCTCTGTTATGAGATGAAGACAATAGTGAACGGTGGCACAATTTCATGGATTGGTTGAAGTTGAACTCAGTGGTCTAGAGGTTAAGTGTTCGCGCGCGAGACTGATAGGTCCTTGGTTCGAATATCGTGGCACGGGATCATGGATGTGCACTGCTATGGATTCCTATACTAGTAAGAAATGGTCATCCAGTGCTTCAAAGATTTTAACCGTGGTCTAATTTCAATTAACTCATGAATTCTAGTATTAAATTACTACAATCTCCACAAAACCCTTGTCTGATTATGTTCAATATATGTTTGAAGAAGAACTGAGCTAGTTTTCCGTATTCGGATGAGAACTTATTTTATTGATTTGGAATTTTATTGGTTGTTCTTGATTAGTCTGTTCTCGTTACTAGAATGATGTTTGACCTACTAGTTATTTATCGTTGTTCTGATTATCCAACAGACTTGGTTTATTAAATATGCATTTCAACAAACTTATGATTCACACATTCATAGATCCAGCTGACATTACATTAAACAGAACTTTCTTAAACAGTTTCCGGTTTCTCATCAACACGTAGCTATTTTCACACAGTCGATCAATTTCTATTCTAATACTATCCCAGCTTTCTAAGAATGTATTTTTTAATGAGTCTAATCAAATTCAGTTGAAAGGAGGTGTTACATTAGCAGTAACTACTCCACATTCTCTTCAGCAAGATTTGGGATAAAGAGCAAGTACCAACAGACTGGAAAGAAAGACACCTGATCAAGATACCAAAGACAGGCGATCTCAGCAAGTTTGAGAACTACAGAGGTATCATTCTTCTCCAAATACCAAGAAACGTCTTCAACTGGGTATTGTTAGATACAAATGTTAACACAGTTCTACTGTATTTGGTGGAAACATGGACAATTACGAAGGCAATAACCCAAAATATACAAGTGTTTGTTTACAGTTGTCTACACAAAATACTTCAGTTCCGTTGGTCAAACACTATCAGAAACAACCTACTATGGGAGAGAACAAACCAAATATTAGCGGCGGAAGAATCAGGAAGAAGTGTTGTAAGTGGATAAGACACATATTGAGGAAAGCACCAAACTACGTCACAAGACAAGCCCTCACATAGAATCCTCATGGTTAAGCAAAGAAGAAGAGGAAGACCAAAAAACACATTATGTCGACAAATGTAAACAGATATGAGAAAAATGAACGACACTAGTAAGCACATTATGATAATGGTCAAGATGGGGTTTGTGAAGATTGTAGCAATTTAATATGCTGAATTCATGAGTTGATTTATGCTACACTACCATTGAAACCTGAAAGCATTGGACGGCCATTTCGTCTCTGTTTGAGTTCGAATTCTACGTTCGAGATCGTGGATGCGTACTTCTAAGCAATCTCATACTAGAATGAAACAGCTGTTCAATGCTTCCAGAATTTCAATGATGGTCTAGCATACATCGACTCATAAATTCAACTATTAAAATGTAATCACTTTCTTTTATGCTTCTTCTAACTAAAACGAAACCGTTAAAAATGCTAGTATTTAAAACTTAATCTAATCAAATTCATTGGGAAATGAAGGTATTTTGCATTTATTTCGTATTTTCTTCATAAATTGAATAATGAATTCGTTAGTTTGTGTTTGACTATAGCATCATTTTGTTGTTTGCCTCCAATATTATAAATGCTATCTTTGTTTTTTTTAAGGACAGTAGAAGTAATAACAGTAGTAGTAGTAGTAGTAGTAGTAGTAATAGTAATAGTAGTAGTAGTAGTAGTAGTAGTAGTAGTAGTAGTAGTAGTAGTAGTAGTAGTAGTAGTAGTAGTAGTAGTAGTAGTAGTAGTAGTAGTAGTAGTAGTAGTAGTAGTAGTAGTAGTAGTAGTAGTAGTAGTAGTAGTAGTAGTAGTAGTAGTAGTAGTAGTAGTAGTAGTAGTAGTAGTAGTAGTAGTAGTAGTAGTAGTAGTAGTAGTAGTAGTAGTAGTAGTAGTAGTAGTAGTAGTAGTAGTAGTAGTAATAGTAGTAGTAGTAGTAGTAGTAGTAGAATAAGCAAGAAATTCGTGTGAATAATTTCTAATGACTGAAATGATGATAACACATGTCAAACAATTTCCTAAGAATGTATATTACTTTGTTTTGTGTACATAATGACAAATTATATATAAATATGTATACATTACCTAGATAATAATTTAATGCCATCTGGTCAACTGTTGAATTTAACATATTACTAATACAATCACATGTTGTATAAATCATTTACAGAAGGAATTGAGCATGAAAGACAATTATCAGTATCAGGTTGTGAAGATTGTTAAGTTTTTGATTGAGATCAAGAGTCGGTTGATGTTCGACCTTCATTGAAAACCTGGAAGAATTGGACGGTCGTTTCATGCTATGCGTATTGCCTTAATATTGCCTCAATTCAATGGGAAGATTCAAGTAAACAATATTAAGTGAATTTAAACTTCATCCTATTGTATAACCAAGTGACAATTAGGACTTAGTAGGTAAGTAGATGGTGTGATAGAGCTTGAAGCGAACGGTACTTGGTTCAAGTCCTAGAATAAAAATCAACTCTGAGATGCAAGTACATCCAACTTACGAGTCTCAAATAGGACGTGAACTCAGGTCCTATATCCCACTGTTAGCCACTATTCATCTTTGCTTAGAAGATATAGCAGTTTTTTTAAAAATAGATCGCCGAAGAAAGCATTACTAATAAAAACTCAACTATCAACATCAACCTTAATATTAACAACATTGGTTTACATTGATTGTTTCTTATTTAAAACGAAACAAAAAACGAAACATACTGTTCAACATATGCTTATCATTCATTAGGCAACAATAGTAATCAAAGATGGATAGTCGCTAGCAGTACAATCCAGGATGCCTGTTTCATCCTATTTAAGACTCGTCAGCTAGATGTACCAAATAGAATAAAACACGCGTCAAACTGGATTCCACTGCTAGTCACTATCCATCTTTGATTACTATTGTTGCCTAATGAATGATAAGCATATGTTGAACAGTACGTAACTTAAGGCTATATCGAAGCAATCCACACAATATGCACAATCCTAAATAACAATGGCAAAATATAAATAAAACACCATCAAGTGAATTTAACAATAGTAATCATTGCTAATTAATAAATCCAAAACAAAACAAACAAAAAGGTAGAATGAAGAATTTAACACGTTCAGTTGTGTCATTGAACAAGTGTTTACAACATAACACATTTAGTAAACATTCTAATAATCAATTCATGATTTTAATCTGTGAAATTTCTAAGATCTCCACAAAACCCTTCTGATAATAATAATCTGCTCATTACTGACTGACTCCAAGAAGCATTTCCTGGAGTTCTAGTGAGGAGCCGTGACCAGTGGAGATCAACCAGGTCTGTTATGAGATATCAGCTCACTGAAGACAATGGTATACGGTGGCGCAACTTCGTGGATTGGTTGAAGTTAGACATTAACACCCTTGGATGCCGGTTCAGTGGTCTAGTTGGTTAAGTGCCTGGCGCGAGACTGGTAGGTCCGTGGTTCGAATCTCGCAGGGTGCGAGATCGTGGCTGCGCACTGCTGAGGAGTCTCATACTAGGACGAAACGGCCATCCAATGCTTCCAGGTTTTCCACAGTGATCTAGCTTCAATTGACTCATGATTTCAATCTGTCAATACTGTTTGCCAAATATTGACGCAATATAAAAAAAATTTTATAAAAAAAAAACCAACACAGTATGAAGTTTATATTTATTAATTAACTATTTACATGTTGATTATGTGTGTAATCTATGTATGATGTAATGATTCAGCAAATGTGTTACATAAGAGATTACACATATATTAAACAAAGAAATACTACAGTAATCGAAATATGCCATCATTCATTATGTAATTGAATAATCATAATAATGAAAGGGGAATATTCATTCTTATTGATAGATTTGATTAGATAGGTATTTAGGAAATGCCAAATGTAGCATAGGAATCTTACTTTTCCATTAGTTATTCATTATGATGTTGCGCTAACTAATATTATTTGGAATGAAATAATAATGTTACATAACTGATTATGTAAGTTATTTCGAATGATCTACATAGTAATTCGATGTAAGAAAATGAAGAGAATATGATAATTGTAACTGACAAATTCATTGTTAGTAAGTTAAATATGTTGTTCGAAGGATTAGTAGATTGATTATGTGGAGATTTTAGTAATTTAATAGTTGAATTCGTGAGTCAATTGAAGCTAGATCATGATGGAAAACCTGGGTGCACTGAATTGCCGTTTTGTCCTAGTAGGGGTCTGTTGTGAGATGAAGACAATAGTGAACGGTGGCGCAATTTCATGGATTGGTTGAAATTGAACTCAGTGGTCTAGAGGTTAAGTGTTCGCGCGCGAGACCGATAGGTCCTTGGTTCGAATCTCGTGGCACGGGATCGTGGATACGCACTGCTGTGGAGTCCCATACTAGTAAGAAATGGTCATGCAGTGCTTCAAAGTTTTTAACCGTGGTCCAATTTCAATTAACTCATGAATTCTAGTATTAAATTACTACAATCTCCACAAAACCCTTGTCTGATTATGTTCAATATATGTTTGAAGAAGAACTGAGCTAGTTTTCCGTATTCGGATGAGAACTTATTTTATTGATTTGGAATTTTATTGGTTGTTCTTGATTAGTCTGTTCTCGTTACTAGAATGATGTTTGACCTACTAGTTATTTATCGTTGTTCTGATTATCCAACAGACTTGGTTTATTAAATATGCATTTCAACAAACTTATGATTCACACATTCATAGATCCAGCTGACATTACATTAAACAGAACTTTCTTAAACAGTTTCCGGTTTCTCATCAACACGTAGCTATTTTCACACAGTCGATCAATTTCTATTCTAATACTATCCCAGCTTTCTAAGAATGTATTTTTTAATGAGTCTAATCAAATTCAGTTGAAAGGAGGTGTTACATTAGCAGTAACTACTCCACATTCTCTTCAGCAAGATTTGGGATAAAGAGCAAGTACCAACAGACTGGAAAGAAAGACACCTGATCAAGATACCAAAGACAGGCGATCTCAGCAAGTTTGAGAACTACAGAGGTATCATTCTTCTCCAAATACCAAGAAACGTCTTCAACTGGGTATTGTTAGATACAAATGTTAACACAGTTCTACTGTATTTGGTGGAAACATGGACAATTACGAAGGCAATAACCCAAAATATACAAGTGTTTGTTTACAGTTGTCTACACAAAATACTTCAGTTCCGTTGGTCAAACACTATCAGAAACAACCTACTATGGGAGAGAACAAACCAAATATTAGCGGCGGAAGAATCAGGAAGAAGTGTTGTAAGTGGATAAGACACATATTGAGGAAAGCACCAAACTACGTCACAAGACAAGCCCTCACATAGAATCCTCATGGTTAAGCAAAGAAGAAGAGGAAGACCAAAAAACACATTATGTCGACAAATGTAAACAGATATGAGAAAAATGAACGAGAATTAGATAGAACTAGAAGGGAAGGTGGAAAACAGATTTGCTTGGAGAATGCTTTTCGGTGGCCTATGCTCGATTGTGAGTGACAGGCGTAAGTAAGTAAGTAAGTAAGTAAGTAAGTAAGTAAGTAAGTAAGTAAGTAAGTAAGTAAGTAAGTAAGTAAGTAAGTAAGTAAGTAAGTAAGTAAGTAGGTAAGTAAGTAAGTAAGTAAGTAGGTAAGTAAGTAAGTAAGTAAGTAAGTAAGTAAGTAGGTAAGTAAGTAAGTAAGTAAGTAAGTAAGTAAGTAAGTAAGTAAGTAAGTAAGTAAGTAAGTAAGTAAGTAAGTAAGTAAGTAAGTAAGTAAGTAAGTAAGTAAGTAAGTAAGTAAATTAGTAAGTAAGTAATCAAATTCAGTTATTGAATATTCAATAATTCAAGCCTTAAACTTTCTAGTAACTTTAATTGAAATCAAACTTATCAGGTCAATAAATGCTTATGGAATAACACAATTTAATAATACAAGTATCTCACTAACCGACTAACTAACTAACTAATCATTAACCAATTCCATTTAATCTTTTTCTATTTGATCGGTCGACTTATTGTTCATTCAAGCATTAGTGATAATAATTATTTATTTATCTATTTGTTTCGGAAAAATAAAATTTAATCAAGTTGACCGAGTGAACTAGTTTCTTTTTTGGGGAATAAAAAGGAGAAAGAAAGAAAGAAAAACAGAAAGAAAAAAGAAAAAAGAAAGAAAACGAACGATCATAAAGTTATTTAGAACACATTTTGTAATAATAATTAGATTGTTTACGCTATATTTCACATTTGAAAGTAACCTATGAGCAAGGAGGGTATATATATATATACTGTGACTTTGGTGAAATACTTATTTAAGGAAATAAACAATATCAGAAGGGGTTTTGTCGGGATTTTAGAAAGTTCAATAGCTGAAATCATGAGTCAATTGAAGCTAGACCATCATGGAAAACCTGGAAGCACTAGACGGCCGTTTCTTTGTAGTAGAAGTTAGACATTAACACCGTTGGTTACTGACCAGCTCGGTAGTCTAATGGTTAAAGGTTTGCGCGCGAGACTGATAGGTCCTGTGTTTGGATCTCGCGGGGATGGGGCGGGATCGTGGATGCGCACTGATGAGCAGTCCCACAATAGGACGAACCAGCCATCCAATTCTTCCAAGTCTCCTATGGCAGTGTAGCTTCAACTTACTCATGATTTTAACTATTGAAATAAACAATAGACCATTTTTTATTTATCGACATTAAATTGCATTAATTCGATTTAGTTTATGCTCCATTGTGATAAGTCTTATCATAATTTATGTATTGATTGTTGATCATTATTATGATGTAAAACTTTCCAGTTGAAGATTTGAATGCTGTTCGAAAATCACTGTGATCTTATGTAGGTATGATTTTATTATTAATTATTTACTTTCACCTGTTACTGACAATCGAACATAGGCCATCGACCAGCATTCTCAAAACAACTCTGTCCTCTACCTTCCTTTCTAGTTCGATCCAATTCTTGTTCATTCTTCTCATATCTGTCTTCGTTTATCGGCTTAATGTGTCCTTTGGTATTCCGTTCCTCCTTTGGCTTTGAAGATTCCATGTGGGGAATTGCTTTGTGATGCAGTTCGGAGCTTTCCTCAATGTATATCCTATCCACTTCCAGCACTTCCTCCTGATTCCTTCCTC